ACGAATATTCTATGGTGCGTTGTTAAATAAATTTTAAGAGAATCAACTCCAATAATATATAATGATAACTACATTTTTCTATATGTATCCATATCATATTCTGAAATTTTACAAATTGTTTATTTCTTGGTAACTTATCCTATATATCCAGTGGGTGGATGGCCAATGTGTTTATAAACAGGGACTTTTGGCCTGTATCCCTTGGATTTTATGTAGGATGGGATGTCAATAAATTTACTTGATTTATTTTATTATTAATATCTAAAACATAAACAGAAAATGATTGAACAAAAGTTGTTAAATGTTCATTTCACAAGCTAAATTGGAGTTATCTACCCTGCACTGTTTAATTGGATTGTTATGACAGAATAAATGTAATGTTTGTAAATAAGTTTGGAAAGGACTTACATAGGCTTAGCTTGATGTCCAATCCAATTTACATATATAAAGTCAATAAAATCTGATGAAATGAAATGAACACAAACCTCTTTCGGATCTGCTCCTTTGTCCAACAACATCTTAACGATGTCGGTATGGCCTTCACATTCTGCTTCATACAATACAAGAGACTGTATAAAGAAAACCATTATATTAGCAACAAAAATGAGATTTAACAAGGATATTGTTTTAATTACAGGTATCCAGCATCTCTTTTTAAAAAAACATTATTTGAGACATCATTATTTTTTCTTAATTTACATGAGATTTATTTAAAAACCGTCATAGGTTTATTAGTTTAATACGCGTTAATGACATTTTTGAAACCGCTTAGACATAGATTAATGATTATCGCATAGAGTAAATATCGTGTCACCAACATCACTTTGTATTTTCCTAAGTAATGATTTTTTAAATGAATTGTGACTTATTATTAAAAAATCGAACAAAAAGTATATAAATAAATTTGATTTTGACGCAAATACTGTTAATGACTAAGTAATAATTCATNTTAAAAAATCGAACAAAAAGTATATAAATAAATTTGATTTTGACGCAAATACTGTTAATGACTAAGTAATAATTCATGATTGACGTTTTACAAATGGTTTCCAAGCATCTCATCCTTAATATTCAACGTTAATTGTCACGTGTTATGTAATCAGACTGTGCTGGTAAGCCAGGTAAAAGATAAATGGGATCGTTATCTGTGTAGTGAAGGTATCAGAAGAAATTCGACCAAGTAAGAATAAAGAAATTACACCATATTTTATTTAAAAGAAATTGACATCATTCGTGATTGTACTTGAGAAGATTGATTTTCTGTTCATGGCAGAATAACACATTTTGTTTATATGTTACACGGGAAGCGATCAATAGGTGGACTTCCCGTTGGGTTACATTGATGTTTGCATTCATATGTTATGTATGATTGTAGATAATAAAGAATAATGTTTTATTTGGTTGTGGCGTTGTTTTTCACTCCTCTTTTCAATTATAATTCCTTGTTTACGTTTTCGCTTCGCTCTACTAAAACAGATATTGTTATTGTCCTGGTACAACAATCTTCCTCCTCCTCTGCACCCATGCATCGGTATATATTTTGCAATAATTGGCATCATTGAATCTTTTACAAACCTAAATATATAACTTTAAAACACACATTTACCAATGCCAGACTGATCATTAGATACCGCCTCCGTTACGAAATTGAACCGAGCCAAAAGAAATATCAACTCTTTTACAAATACAACAGTCTATCAGAGTACGTATGGTAAGACTAATACACTAGGTGTGGAGTCGTTTCTGGTGTAATGAGGGATAAAAGATGATGGAAAGGGACTTGATCAAACACTGCTTATGTTCAATTTTATCAAGTTAATAATATATATGTATAGATAAGCAGGTATAAATTACACGGGATTTCAAAGAAAGCGTGGCAATAAAAACCATAACAGTTTATGTCTGCATATGATTACAAACGATTCATTGTAGTATTAGCATGTTTGGGAAACCCACCGGTGTTTCATTTTGTTTTCGTTGTGTGGTTTCCTACTGAAAATGACCAAAATCGTTTTTGTCATGACCTCACATTTATTTTCTTTTAACTTGTTATGTGTTCATATAACCAGATACCAAATATTGACTACATGG